GCGCGGGGGCGGGCCGGGGGCGCTGGCCCACCACCCACCTTAGGAGGCTCTTCTAGAGCTCGGGCAGGCCGCGGGCTGGGCCCCACTCCACCCGGGCCGAGGTCCCCATCTCTCTACACGCGGAGAAAAGCCAGGGCCGGAGTCCTAGGACTGCTAGTCTAGGTCCCAACATCCGCCACTTTTCTTATCTGATGCGGGGCATTTATTGAACACCTACTATATACCAGGTGAGCTAGGCCACCAGCTCTGCCTCCCCCACCCAGCCTTGCCCCTTCACCCCCGTAGAGGCCTGTCCATGCTCCACCAGCTGCAGGTTCCTCCTGTGGGGCAGGCCCATGTGCACTCAGGAAACTGTGACAAAGCACCTTGGCCCATCTTACTACACACGCTCCGGGAAAGTCATTCCTTAAGACATTCTATGTCATGCAATTTCGTTAGAATAACAATAGCACTAAGTCACTAGTTAGTATGCATTTGTAAATATTCCAATTTATTTGGAAACGATGAAGCAGCATCTTGAGTGGAGGATTCTGGGGGTTCTGAGTAATGGGGTTGTGGTGGGGGGAGGGTTTGGTGGCCGGGAGGACTGTGCTTGGGGATTAGGAGCACTTGCCCTGTGATCTGGGCAAATGACTCACCTTTCTTGTCCATGTTTCCATGTTAGAAGGAGATGTGGACAGTGCCTCCTTGGAAGGGATCAGATGCCACTAATCTATGGGAGGTGCTAGCACAGGGCCTGGTGCACCAGGAGAAGTCAGAGCTCAGGACAGGCAGACGGGCTTGGAGAGTGTCAGCAGAGTCACCCTCCCTCCCTTGTGGAAGGACAGCGGCCCGGGCCTGGTCCCCTGTGTGAGGTTCCGCTTCCGGGGAAGGACAGGGGTGCAGATAGCCGTGAGGAGGGCTGGCAGGGCAGAGTGACTTCTGTGGAAGGTGAGGGGGTCGTTTCTGTTGTCTCCTTTGCTGTCCTTGCCTGGGCTTCAGGAGGCCATCCAATGCTGCCCTGGTCCTGCTCTAAGCCACAAAGTCTGGATCTACGGCAGGAACAAAAGCTCGTTTTAGAAACAGAATCTCTCTGCCCAGTCTACCCCAAACCCAACATCTGACCCTTTGAAACGCTGAACAGATGCCTGTCCTTCAAACTCACCTTCCAGGTGGCAGGAAACTAGTAGGACGCTCTCAGGAAGTTAGTCCCCCCATTAGGATACCCTCTGCCATCTGTGTAGATGAGCCAAGGCCCCTTAGAGTTGCCTAGACTCTTCAAAGCAGTGGCTCATCTACTTCAGTCTTCACAATAGCCAGGTTAGGAAGCTATGCCTGGAGCTAATTCTGCACACGGACACATTCAAGCTTAATCTCAACCCAGAAACCAGTTACAGTGCTCGTTCCCCACAGGCCAGGAAGGTGGAGGCAAGCCCCTCGCTGCGGGGTCGGAGAAGGAAGGACCGCCACGGAGTCCAGCCCCCGCCACTCAGGAGGTCCCACGTGGGGAGCCGCCCCCCTCCTGCGCTGTCCTGGGAGAGAAGACGCCACCCAAGGCCCCCGACGCCAGGGGAGCATGCCAGCCACCGGGCTCTGTCCACAAAGACAGAACCCTGGTCCTGCCCCGCCCCCAGCCTCAGGTAGATGGGTGTTCCGTCCCCAGGAGAGAGGCCAAGGCAGGGAAGAGGTCCTTCGCTCCGGGCTCCGGGAAGCAGAAAAAGTCTGTCGCCACGGGTCCAGTCTCCATGTCACCTCCCCGCGTCAATAACTCAGCCCGTGACACCAACAACCCAGTGCCCTGTGGGTCAGGCCGGGGGCCCTGCCACCTGGCCAACCTCCTCAGCACATTGGCCCAGAACAGCCCAAACACAGACCAAAAGAAGCCCCTAGAAGTGACCTGCCAAGTGCGGAAAAAGACTCGAACCCTGTACCGCTCAGGTGAGTCCCTGAAGGTGAGAGTCAGCCTGGGGTCTGGTGTCATCTCTGGGAAAGGTGCGCTCAGCAGGGAACATGGCCCGCGAGACTGGAGGGTGGTTTGCTTGCACATGGCCTGTCCTGGACCCCCTTGGCCTGTGGCGGGGCCACGGCCTATCAGGGGTGGGGGTGCATCAAAGTGAAATTGAAAACAGGTTGGAAAGGTTCCCCACCCAC